TGTATAAACATTAAAATAATGTTTGCACCGTTGTGAGAAAAGTTGATTTGAATAAATCGACAAATATTTTGCCAAAAACGAAAATTTCTTATAAATAAAACAAAACCATTAAATTTTCAATTTTTGTATTTTTGCCTATGCTGTTTGCCCTTCTGTAGGCTTTTTGATGGACATAAAAAGCTTTAACTTTTTTCAGGACACAAATTTTTGCATTCTGTTTTCGGTTATTGCTAGTTTAGATCAATACTTTCAAAATGATGTATAATCCTTGCATGAAAGTTCATTATAGCTGCTTCTGGAGTAAATTGAATGTGACCGACGCAAGCTAAACTTCAACAAAATAGCCAAAAACCAAAATTTATCAAACAAAAATATTTTAAACTGACTTATTTCGCTAAAACCATGTATAAATATGAAATATCAACCGATAAACATCCAAGAAATAGTGTAATACTTGGGAATTTTTGTCCCAATAAAGACTACTAGAATTGTACTTAAATAAGCTACCTGAGATAGCCAAAAGTTTAACAAATACATTTTTTTGAGTCTTTTTAGTCATAATTATCATAAATCAACATAAAAAACCAAAACTCAATACATAATTTTGTTTCCAAGTGGTATTTCTAGAAATGACGTTTTTGAGATTTTTTCTAGTTAAGGGTCGCTCACAAACAAGCCTCATATTCATGACCAAGATCAAAGTCAACTATCAAGTATTATACATCATTAGAAAGGTACTGATTTAAGCTACAATAAACTGAAAACTAAATTCAAAAATATTTAATTTTCTAAGAGTACTAGTGGGTTGAGTGATGAAAAAAACATACAAGTCGTCAGATATCAAAAGTACCCTATAAATCGACAAATTTAGAACTTTTTGAAAAAATTTCTTCACAGGTTGTCTTTAAATATTGTTTGTCATTGAAAAATACCAAAAAACTTATTTGTAGTTATTGTTTTGTTTTATTTATAAGAAATTTTTGTTTTTGGCAAAATATTTGTCGATTTATTCAAATCAATTTTTCTCACAACGGTGCAAACATTATTTTAATGTTTATACAGTTATAAAAACTAGAAATCAGTGGCTTTTTAATGGTTTGGTTTTTGACTGGTATAACTGTTGACAGAAAAAAGTTGTGCCTGCACAAAGATATACTTCCTAGGATATTTATACACTTTCAACTACACCGGTACCAAAACATCAAATTTGTAAACTTTGATAAACATTTAAAGAAAGTTCTTATATAACACTTTTAGGAACTGAAAACCTTTTTTCAATATCTCTAACAATTGCGGAGATTTACCAGTTCTAACGTGACATGAAAAAACCAGATTTTTCACCCATTTTCAACTTAAAACAGCCACAGATTCGCAAAAATAGCACCAAATGACCTGAAATTTGGCATAGAAATTTTTTTTTATGTCCTCTACAAGAAAAAATCCACTTGAGAACTTAATTCAAAACATTGCCTTTTTCGAAGTGAAAGTCCCTTTTTTTTCAATTTTGCCCCATAGTGCCTAGTCCAAAATTGAAAATGTATTTCCTACTTGGTTCTTTGCTCAAAAAAATTTTAGGATGTTTTATTTGTATTTGTTTTAAGCACTAGAATATTTATGCAAAGTTTCAATCCATTTGTATAAACCCTCGAAGAAAAAAGTGACAAAATTGATTTTGACTAGGGTCGCCCCTAGTAGGGTTTGGGGAATCTGTTAACAGAAAACAGAAAAACAGCTGTTTTTCGACAAAAATCTGTTAACAGAAAACAGGTCTCAAAAACAGATCTGTTTTCTGTTTTTCATTTTTGCATAAAATTTACAGAAAAAAAAATTTCTTAATTTTTTGAAGAACTTAATATATTTTTCTAGCATTTCAAATTGAAATGTATTTACTATTTTAATATTTTTTGGATGTTTATTAGGTTTGAAATCATTATCAAATTTATGGTTAATCATTATTAATTTTGCAATCGAAATTTTAAATTTGTTGAACATTTTGTAGCATTTACTAAAGTTTAAAAATATAATCAACAATTTTACAAGATATTTTTTTATTCAGAAAGATTTTTTGAATATTTCAAATAAAATATTAGAGCTAATGGAACTTTTACAATGCAACAATGCAATGTTACTTATAGGTTTAAATTTTTTTGGATTTTTTTTTGCATTTTTATATTTCATTTTATTTTTTAGAGTTATTTAACATAAAAAAATAAGAAATAATAATGCTTAGCTCTAAAATGTATGCTTAACTGCTTATAACCACCAAAAAGTTTCATTATCTTAGAGAAACACAGGATAACTCAGTTTATTTTGAATTCTAGAAAAACAGGAAAACAGCTGTTTTTAAAAATCAAAAACCGAACACAGACTGTTTTTCAAAAACAGCTGTTTTCCACAAACTCTAGCCCCTAGTCCAAAATTGAAAATGTATTTCCTTCTTGGTTCTTTGCTCAAAAAAAATTTTTTTCATCCAAAGTTTAATTTAAAAAAAAATCACAGTGAACTTTTAATTTGAAAAATTCGTAAGAAAGGAAAGTTTTTTGCTTTTTCTGAAGCAACGGCTGTTCCTACCTTGCCCAAAAACAATACAGCTCTTCTATAGAGCAGCACGGATCAAATGTAAAAAACTAGAAGTCTCTACGATGTCTCGTTATTGAGATTTCTTGCTGATTAACTTGCGTGTTTGCTTGCTTGCTTGTTTGCTTGCTTACAGAAAGCATATTTTGCGATTTTCTCAGCAATGCCACAACCAATTTGAAATCTGTTTTTTTTTGCAAAAGATGTGAAATTCAAGGCACAAACTTTTCATCTCTGAACATTTTAAGCTATCTTGCTCCATATCCTCACAAAATTCTAAAAACTGATTTTTCAATCTGAACAAAACCAATAGATTCACACGTGAATATAAAAAGAAATATCTACTTTAAGTTGTTATTTGGATGTCTTGGAAGCAGTTGCTAGCTAATTTAAGCTTAGCTTTACATATTAAAACAACCAACTCAATAGAAATCTGCTTATAAAGCCTTAAAAATGGAATTGAAATCTGAGTATTTTTACAAAACTTAAACTATTCATAAGTTAAAAAGTCTTCCAAAGACCTCTCTGAAACCTACACAAATCAATTAATTAAGCTTAAATCTATCTCTCATATTACTGAGGACATGCCGTTTGATTCCGTTTTCGAGATATTTGCGATCAAAATTTACATAAATTTTCATACAAAATTTGGACATGCACAATATTTTTTGATAAACTTTTACAAACTTTTGATAAAAAATCATGTTTATCCTTTATATTAAGGACTGATTTTATGAGCAAAGAACGAAAACATTATGTAGAAGATGTTAAAAGAATCAAATCAAGAGAAATTAACAAAAATTTCAATTTTCTAATTTGTCGGAAAAATATTGTGCACAAGGAATTTTTGAACATTTTTTCCGAATCTGAATCATTGTACATCCCACTTTGTATGCAAAAAAAAATTGAAAGAAACTTAATAGAGAAAATTAAATGAAATATAATTCAATAAGACAACCTTCAAACTGCTTTATTTATTTTTGTTTCCCTTTTTCAATTCCATATTTTTCCTTTCTCATATTTGATGGGTGTTTTTATAATTTATTTTGTTATAATGCCATTCACAAGCACCGCAAAGCAAAGCAAAAAAGGAGAATACTTGTTGCTATTTCAGCACTTTACGTCGATTAGGTTTTATTTTTGTGCCAATTAATTTCATACAATTACACTTCAGAAGACACCCTTCACGTACTCGAAATCGAATCATCATGAATTACCAATAATGTTATGCTTCAATCAGTATTTCATTGTATTTGGCATTTATGAATGTTTGCTGCTGCTGTTCACTTTAATAGCTAATGTGTTTATGACTTATTTTGCACATTCTCTAATCAATAAATATTCATACAGTCTGGAATTTTTGGCAATATGACATCAAAAAATTGATTGCCAAGTTCTAAAGATGATCATTTCACTAATGTAAATTGTTTACTGCTCCTTTGTGAGTTATTAATCTGCGTGCAAAATTCCATTTGTTAAAGGCTGCAATAATAATTCATATGGGGAATGACGCAGCAATCAATATAATAGGATCTGTAAGTCAAAAATAGTTTGATATTAACTCATCCATTCTGGATTAATAGCAACATCTGTTTAAATCTCAGAGTTAAATAAACTAGTTTGAAGCTTACTGAATCTAATTTTTTAAAGGTCTCTGGTTAATTCGATTAGAGAGCAAACCAAAATTTTATTATATTAAAGCTCACTGTATTCATGATCTTAGCTAAAGCTTTTGAAAATACAATTCTATGCTTTAAATCTTCAATATTCTCGAGATATCTTTATGGTTTTATAGTACAACAACCTGTAGTTGCCGGATACCCAATTATCAAGAAATTAATCTAAATGACCCTCATTTGAGCTGATCGTGTGCTGCCACACACTATTTTTCAATAAGAAAAGGCACATGGAATCTTTTAAAAAAACAATAGTGGAATGTTTTTTTAAAGTAATGTAATGTAATTACGTCAGCACATAAAAAGATAGAGGAAAAGCCATTAAAAAGAAAAAAATATTTCATTGCCCTCAATAGAAAACAAAAACCCTATTGTCTATCCATCTTTTATAATGAAAAGCCAATCAACTTAAGGCATCGTATCGCATTTTAAGCGCTTCTGCTTTTCTTCTCAATGTCAGTTTATGTGTATGCTTTATACTTTTCCTTCTTTTCCATTTTTTTTTTCTTCATCCATTCTCGCTCGTCTCGATGACGTAATCAAAAGAATTTTTCTTTTCACTTATTCCACCTTTTACGTACAAAATTTTTTGTCATTCTTTTTTTTATATGATTTTTGAACCGTCCTTTTTAAGGTATCATGTGAGAGAGAAGCTGAGAATTTATCATATTTTACGTTTGAATGAATTGCTCGAGAGCTTTTAAACTCACTTTTAATGGATTAGGTGGAATAAAGTTGGACACTTACCGTTTTCAATTGTTTCCTTGGCACTCGAAATAATTTTTGTTTTACGCTTTCGTAAATTACTCAAATCCAAATATGTATTGCTACCTCCTGTAGCTACATCATCGATTACAATATAATCCTCTGTTAATTCCAAGTCACCGGTATCGTCTTCAAATTTTTGTTGCTCCATATTATTTCACACACTATCGAATTTTTTTCTTTTCCTTCTTTTTTATTGAATGTGTATTAAAGCCTTAAAATATTTCTATCTTTCTCACTTTTTTTTCTTGATTTTTGATAGCACTACAATTATCTTTACATTTAACAAAATTGTATGCCTTAATAATGAATATCTAATTAGATTATTGATGTACTGATCTATTCACATATTTTAATTATTACTCTAAATTTTATTGAATAAGTCCACGTAACCGGGAAGAGTAAGAGAAAAGAAAGATGTAAGTTTCAATTTTTATATTATTTTTTTTTACATAGGACGAAATGCAGGTTATCACTGATGTAAATGCTTTTCTCAACTGAAAGAAAATATCGATCTGAGAAAATTTCTTGCATGTTTTTGGTGAAAATTGATGAAAAACTCAACACGACGGTAGGAACTGCGCATTCGTCAACATAATGTTTATATCGTTCATTTATATCCTTTTGTTTATAAAGAACGTGCTTTATGTTTACTATTCTTTCGCATTCAATAGGATGTTGCTCAATTTTCTTTATTATTCAGTTTGAATGAAACGTGATCTTCCTTGTTTTTACCGTTGACTTTTGTTTCTTCTTCATTTGTTCCATTTATATGATCTAATAATTCACATTTTACACTTTTGTATTTGTATACATATGAACTACTTTTATGTAGAATCAAGCTTCTAATCTTCAAATCTAGGTTTCGATTAAATTCAGGCTCTCGTTTCAATCTTCTGTGGGCGTGAAGTGATACTTTTCAGGTCCGTTCTAATAATATTCCATTATAAGGTAATCTTGTAGCTCTCGTTCCTATTTCTCCCACTACACTTCAAGTTCCTGACCCGTTCCTTAATCCAACGATGCCCAAATATGGCTTGATCTCGTACATTAAGCAGTCGAAGTATCTAAACTTCCGAAAAAGAACAAATTGGAAATGCCTGAATTCGAACCGACGACCTTCAAATTACCATCCCAAATTTGAGCCAAGCGCCTTACCTATTCGACCAGCAAGGCACTTAACTGCTTTAACTACTTAGATTAATAATGAGATCTATGACATTAAACTCCCCAAATTCGTTTGTTCTATTGCCATGCAAATTTATAAATATATTTGTTTAACCTTATTTATAACTCACCTGTTAATTTTTTTTTAATTCCATTACCTTTTGCTAATGATCTTAATAAGCTTTGTTTTTTTTAAACGACAAGTATTAGTGTGTTTGATTAAAGGCGCATTTTTGTAATTTTTGTACTTATTTTAATGGATAGAATCAGCTAAATCGTGTGTTATTTGAATAATTCTCAAACAGGGAATAAAATTTACTTTAGAAATCTCAAATTTAAACTTCAATAACATAATTATTTTCAAATATTAATTTTTCGTAACATTTCAATTCATGTCAATTTCTAAAATTCTTTAAAATTGAAATCAAAATTTACAAACATTGTGACCAAAATGTATCAATCATTTCAAACTTATCCAATATTTTTACGGTAGTTAAAGCTTAAATAAAAAGTGGTTAATTCCGAGTGTAAAACAATTTCCTCTTTGTATTATCATCAATATAACACACACCATACATATAAAAAAGGTAAGTTTTTCACTTCTTCACCTTGATGCCTAGATAATTCAGTTTTAGTTGAAAAATCAAAGCTATTGGAAGTAATTGAACAGAAGAATTAAATAAAATTGAAAATTTCAAGCATGAAGTTTTCAATAAATCGCTTCATATTTCTACTGATTTTTATTATAAATATTTTGGAAGCAGCTGTGCTGGAGAATTACGATGATGACGATTTGGCATCATATGAATATAATGAGTATGTGTATTATTACTTTGTTTAGAGGGTGTGTTAATACCTACCCTGTTTTTACATTATTAGCTATTACAGGGTTGTTAAAACATTCTATTTTACAGAATATGTACACATATCCAACACATTTTGCATGTTCACGTGTACAATGTGTGGCAGAATTCATATTTTGGCAGATAATATATGACACATTATTTTGTGTCACATATGAAAATGTGTGATGTGTGACACATATTTATGTGTGTAGATATCATGTAAATAGAAAAACAAAATCTTTCATATATTTTGTCTTCATTAAGACAATTTCTTTATGTAGACTTTGTCAACATGTTGAGAGAAAAAATAATCTACATGTAGAAAAATTCTTCCTCTAGTGTAGACATCTACATTTGCAACACTGATCATGTGTGAACATGCAAAATCTGCACATATTTATTAATTTGCGGGACTAAAGTGATATTTTTTTGTAGAAGGGGGTAGTTGTCAGGTGGGGGTGGGGACAAGGTGAGTGTCGATATATTTTGTGAAGCCAATGATTTGAGGGGAGCTGACAAGGTGGGTGTCAGTTAGGGGGGGGGGGGGGTGGATGTCAGGTATATTTTGTGACGCCGTATGAAGCCAATGATTTGAGAGGTGCTGACAAGGTTGGTGTCAGTTGTGGGGGGAGTGACAAAGTGGGTGTCAGGTGAAAGGTGGGTGTCAGGTGGGGATTGGGGCCAAGGGGGGTGTCAGGTATATTTTGTGAAGCCAATAATTTGAGGATTGCTGACAAGGTGGGTGTCAGTTGGGGGAGGGTCCGAATCTTAGGGGGTTTGTGGGAAAAGTTTGGTGTCAGGAATATTTTGTGAAGCCATATAAAATTTTGTGAAGCCATGTGAAGTTTTGTGAAGCTATGCGAAGCTTTGTGAAAAGACATGGTGAGTTTCGGGGGAATTAAAGTTTTAGTGGGATTAAGGGGGTCCGAGTTTGAGGGGGTTTGTGAAGCCATTTATAAAATTTTTGTGGGATTAAGTCCGAATTTGAGGAGGTTTGTGAAGCCATGTGAAGTTTTGTGAAGCTATTTATAAAGTTTTTGCGGGATTAGAAAGTCCGAGTTTGAGGGAGTTTGTGAAGCCATTTATTAAGTTTTAGTGGGATTAGGGGGTTCGAGTTCGAGGGGGTTTGTGAAGCCCTGTGAAGTTTTGTGAAGCCATTTATAAAATTATTGAGGGACTAAGCGGGTCCGAGTTTGAGGAGGTTTGTGAAGTTATGTGAAGTTTTGTGAAGCTATTTATAAAGTTTTTGTGGGATTAAGAAAGTCCGAGTTTGAGGGTTTTTGTGAAGCCATTTATAAAATTTTTGTGGGATTATTGACATATATTATCTGCCACACATTGTACAAGTGAACATATTTTTAAAAAAAGCCCAGATTCTATTTTTAACCACCTTGAGCTATTACTCGTTACTAAGCTACTAGTGCGCCAAAAATCACGTTTTTAATCTACTAAGCTACTAGCTTATAACGAAAAAACAGGGTATTCAAGTTTAGGATTCAGACTTTTTCCTTTAACGTCTAAGATGCACCCTTGCTTTAAAGACGAACATTTAATTAATGATTGCCACACATCCAGTTCTAATTTAGGTTCCTTCGAGCAATACATTCTCGTGTTTATGTCTTCTGCTATGCAGAAGATTTTTTGGAGACATGAAAGTCATTAAGCTCATCACGTGTAAGGATTTTGCAATTTTTATTTGCTTTAAAAATTGTTTAAATCTTGAACATAAATGTCATGTAATATTAGTCACATTTAGCAGCGTTCACATATCTAAAGTAATTCCTAAAGAATTGAAATTATTGTACCATTGAGAGGGGTAAGTCAAGTCTTAGATACTAAGGTTCAATTCTTATAAACCTATTATTTAAAGACGGACCAAAAATTGAGAGCTTTTGAATTAATCATCAATTCATTATTTAAAATTGAACTGAAGCTGTTCCTCGATGAATTTCATTAAGAACGCAGTCACAATATTGTAAAGCAATTACTGGTTTTTTTTTTAAGTTTCTTGTTCACTTTATTTAATTCAATTTAATTAATCATCATAATTGTTACGCAATACTAAAACATTTCACATTGTAAAATGAACAAAAAGAGGTAAAATTCCATTAAACAGAAATAAAAATGATAATAATAATAATGTAGCAATGTAGAACATTGTTTTATGGCTTTAACTTATTAAAATTAATAATCTCATGCATATTAATTTTATATCAAAATTTATCTTACGTACAAATTGGTATTATTATTACTTTAAGAATTGAGAGTCGACAGATAAAATTATAATAATTAAATTAATTAATAAAAACAACTTTTTTGGAATGTCGTGGAGATCAAAGAGTTTTGAAATACATTGAGATCTACTTAATATTCATCTAAATCATATTCCAAATCATCATAATAGCCATCATCTAGTTGTATCGAAGCTAGATCGACTTTATAACGTAATATACCTGTGAACAAAAGAAAATAAAATAAGGAATAAATTAAAATCAAACAATATTAAGGAAAATGATAAATTAAAAGAAAAATAATGAGGAACGTCTAAAAACAGCAAAGCAGTACGAAAAACAGAAAATCATAAAACAAATTCACTCGGAACACAACAGATAAGTGAGAATAGTTGCTTACAAATATATTCAAGGAATGTCCTTTAACCATTCATTCAATTCATGATTTAAATAATTTCAAATATTTTTTTATATGATCAAAATTAGTCTAGAAATGTTATTAAGTTGTAAAAGCTAAAAAGATGAATGTGATTTATAAAATTGGAAAGAGGGTTATTAACGCTAGTTAATATTTTTAGTAATCATCAAGATCTACGTCATCGAGTGGCTCTTCTTCGGCAGCCATAGATTGAAAGTCAACTTTATAGCGCAAAATACCTTTAGTGAAATAGCGAAAAATGTAAGAAATAATGTGAAAGGAAAAATGTGAAAAGTTTTTATTTTTGAAAGATTCCACTTACCTCCAATTCCGCCGAAACCGCGTACGAACTGACTTCCCTCTTGAGACTTGTCTGTAATAATTTCCAGTGTTGCTCCAAAGCTTTTATAGTTATTTGCAAGCCATTCTAGTAATTGTTGTGACTCGACAAGCTCCATTTCGACCCCGCTCTGTTTAATTGACATGATTTATCCGGAATTATAGTAAAATAATATCAAATATGTTACCTCCTTGTCAGTGAAATGAGTTTTGTCCTTTTCTTGCTCTGGCGTCAAATGTAAAACGGTTGTTGTATTGGTTGTGGTGTTTTTAAGGACATAGCGTTGAATGTCTAAATTTTCCCAGCAAATCAAAATTTCAACGGCACCAAGTTCTAAAGCTCTAAGCGTGTCTTCAACACCAAAACAATATTTTCCGGTATCCTGTGATATTTCATCGAAATAACGTCCAATAAGTTTCTTTTCCTGAATAAATTTGACATTTTGTAGTGATTCTGCTGCCAATTCAATTGCTTGATTAAATCCATTTTCGCCACTATAAGATATATCCACTAGTTTAATAATTTTAGCTTGCAATCTAGGATCAAACATATCAGATTGACTAAGTTCGGTCTTGAAATCAGCTGAACCAGCAAGAATGAGTCCAGCAATGTTAGGTTTATCGTTTGAAATGTATAATTGAGTTGCAACTTCGGCTACTTTTCTCACATAATTGTGACGTTTTTCCATTCGAAGACGTGCAAAACGAAGAGCTGACTGACCACCACGACCGTGCTTTTTCGGAAGATCCACAGTGAATTTATGTAAAACTTCGCGAGTGTTTCCTTGTAGTGTTCCAAAAAGTGCACCATTACCATCCATAACGATAAAACCGAATTTATTATCATCAGCTAGAAGTGCCGTAAGTGCTTCTGTATGAAATTTGTTGTCACATAGATATAATGAGGTATTTATTGGCTTAAACGGCTCGAAATCAATGTTGACTTTCTTCTCTTTTCCTTCCTCAGTCACAATTGTTCCACAGTAAATAACCAAACCATTTGGAGGCACTGGAATCAAAAAGATTAATAGGTTGTCGACTTGAAGTTAAAGTTTAGTGTCAAATAGAGTACATACCTTTAGTATATAATTTTAATCTATGTTGGACCGATGTAATGGCACCTAATACAGACAAACGGTTCACTCTGGACTTAATATTAGAAGCTGTTCCAAATTCATCTGCCAACATCTTACTGACTCTCGAAATCTGATCTTTTGGTGGAATGATGAGTGAAATCATACTCGTACCATTTCCTCTGGCTAATTCCAAGCTCTTTATAAGCTTCTTAATCTTCCATATTTCAACATTTCTATCAGCACTTGTATCATCCATTTTTATGTCCTTTTTTTCTTTCAAGCTTTTTCGAACAAAGAAATTTTATAGATTTTTTCACCCTTAAATCCTTATTTTCCGAGCAACCTTCTTTTCGAGCACGTTTTAAGCCAATTTAACATCAAAATAAAGTTACTTAAAGTACACTATTATGTCAATTTACTATGTTATGCTTAACTTAGTGTTTTAGCTAAGTCTGTTATCTGATATTTCCAAGATATTTACCACTGTTGATATTCTCAAATTTGACAGAATGTCACTGAACTTAAATTTTAAAAAACCGTTTTTTTTTCACCTTTTTCACCACATTCAAAACAAATAAAATAACGGTGAAATAAAGTTTGAATTTTTCGTAAACATTAGAAAGTTGATAACAAATTTGTTTATTCTAGTTCGATTTGAATATAAATATCCAACCTGATCAACTGAAATATATTATTTTATTATAAGTATTCCAAGGTTTTAATTCAAGATGCCTCTATTTTAGAATAGGGGCAACGTATTTTTGAGATTCAAAGTTCAATACCTTAACACAGATGCAAAAAAGTGCGGGAAAGTGTTTATACTCGATTTGTAGTCTTTAAATGCTCTTAATCGCTTCTAAAATATTACAGATAATAGAGGATGATAATCTAAGCTACAAGACGATACGAGAAATACGAGTGTGCCCAAAAATAAATCAGCAAATTAACGGCTGGTGAAAATTTAAAATCTCACGAACGAGTTAACGTTCCCTTAAAAAACGTGGAAATTTGGCAAATTTTCTTTGAATTAAATATTTCCACGATTAGCGATAGATTCAGGCTCTAATCTGGATTCAATCATCATATAATAGTCAAATCATCAAGGTGTTAATATTGTGAAAAGTATATAGTTATCAAAATGAGCTTCAACGACGATTCAAGTGCTGATAGAAATGTGGAAATTTGGAAAATTAAAAAACTTATTAAAAGTCTGGAACTAGCAAGAGGGTGAGATATTCAAAACATTAATCTCATTAAACACAACATAATGCGCCATTTTTATTAAGAAATTCCAAGAGTTTGAATACTATTTTTGTTGATTTACTTTGCATGACCTAAATTTAAGCACTAAGGTACAGGTTTTTGCCATCAATGCAATTTTTTTCTTCTCATCCGTTTTGTCTTTGTATTTTCCCCCTAATTGCACAACATTTTCTATGTTAATTAATACTCACGCCTATAAATCACATAATAATTATCTTTTGTTTATTTAAATAGAAATGGTACGAGTATGATTTCACTCATCATTCCACCAAAAGATCAGATTTCGAGAGTCAGTAAGATGTTGGCAGATGAATTCGGAACAGCTTCCAATATAAAGTCCAGAGTGAACCGTTTATCTGTATTAGGTGCCATTACATCGGTCCAACATAGATTAAAATTATATACCAAAGGTATGCAACAAGCTCAAACTAGTTTTTACTGGATTCTCATTAAATTGACATCTAATCATAATCGCTATACTTTTTTTAGTGCCTCCAAATGGTTTGGTTATTTACTGTGGAACAATTGTGACTGAGGAAAATAAGGAAAAGAAAGTCAACATTGATTTCGAGCCGTTTAAGCCAATAAATACCTCATTATATCTATGTGACAACAAATTTCATACAGAAGCACTTACGGCACTTCTAGCTGATGATAATAAATTCGGTTTTATCGTTATGGATGGTAATGGTGCACTTTTTGGAACACTACAAGGAAACACTCGCGAAGTTTTACATAAATTCACTGTGGATCTTCCGAAAAAGCACGGTCGTGGTGGTCAGTCAGCTCTTCGTTTTGCACGTCTTCGAATGGAAAAACGTCACAATTATGTGAGAAAAGTAGCCGAAGTTGCAACTCAATTATACATTTCAAACGATAAACCTAACATTGCTGGACTCATTCTTGCTGGTTCTGCTGATTTCAAGACCGAACTTAGTCAATCTGATATGTTTGATCCTAGATTGCAAGCTAAAATTATTAAATTAGTTGATGTTTCTTATGGCGGTGAAAATGGGTTTAATCAAGCAATTGAATTGGCAGCAGAATCACTACAAAATGTCAAATTTATTCAGGAAAAGAAACTTATTGGACGTTATTTCGATGAAATATCACAGGATACCGGAAAATATTGTTTTGGTGTTGAAGATACATTAAAGGCACTCGAACTTGGTGCTGTCGAGATATTAATTTGCTGGGAGAATTTGGATATTCAAAGATATGTTCTTAAAAATGCTGGAAGTAATGCACAAACAATTTTACATTTAACGCCAGAACAAGAAAAGGACAAATCACATTTTACTGATAAAGAGGTACGATGTGTGATTTAATTAGCAATAAATCTTCTCTTACTTATTTCACAAGATTGTGTTACTAATGCTGTACATTTTGTTGCTTCATTTTAGAGCGGAGCCGAGTTAGAATTGTTGGAATCACAGCCGCTTTTGGAATGGCTTGCAAACAACTACAAGACTTTTGGTGCAACATTGGAAATCATCACAGACAAGTCACAGGAAGGAAGTCAGTTTGTGCGCGGTTTCGGTGGAATTGGAGGTGAGTTTCGACTGTGCTCAATTGTAAAATAAGCATACGAATTTTGTTTATTGCTCTACGATATTTTTGTATGTGGTGTTTGGGAAAATTGTGTTGTAGCTTTTTCGAGCTACTTTTTGATATGCTCCATTTGAAGTGGATTTTTAGAAAGTAAGCTAGTGAACATGGCGCATTTTTGGACTTGATTGTCATTAGAGTAAACATAAATCTCACTGGATTTACAATGATTATCAATTCTAAAGTGCGACAAATGATTTTTCCCGCTCCATCATATGACTTGCTCATTACATACGACCAATGACTAACTCATAATCATTATCATCTAATGCGAATTGTCACAATAATTTTCCTCGTTTATTTCTTCTCTCTCTTTTTTAATCCTTCACTAACATGCACACACGATTGTTTGATCCCACGCTTTGTATATCAAATCTCAAAACCTTTTTACTTTTACTCTATCCTCCTTTCTTGAATTAATTCAATCGTACATGAGCAGGAATCTTACGCTATAAAGTTGATTTTCAGTCTCTGCAATCCGATGAGCCGCTTGATGTCGATCTTGATGATTACTAAATGACTTTTTTTTAAAAAAAATCCCTATAAACTAACAATGAACCTATCATAAACAGTGGAAAATGTTTCGTACAAGCTAGAAATCTATAGATAGAGTTATAAAACTTATTTTTATTTACAAAAAATATTGAAATTCTCGAAGAATTTTCCACTTTTATGACAACAACATGAGAAAGCTTTTAACATAATTTTAAGGACATAAATGCTAAAAAAACATTAACAGTGGAAGGAAAGGTATGAAGATGTTTTATTGCATTTTTTTCCTCCTTTTTTTCGTTCATGCTCTTTCGTTGGTTTTTAATTTTGCAATTTTTTACTAATTTTGAGTGCATTTTCCTGAAAACTGCTAAATTTGAACTTTAACTGTTAAAATGACTGTTATTTTTTATTTTAAAAATTATGATTTTGATTTTTTTAAATTGTAGTCGTTAATTTTCAAATAACTAATGACGGTTATTTTTTAAAGAAATTTTAAAAATTTTCATTCAAATCAGAAAACAAAAACAGTAAGGAAAAAGTGCTCATGTTGGCCATAATTGACCACATCTAAACTAGATTAATATATAAAAACAAAAACTAATGTCAACTTTCGTTTCTATTTTCAGGAATTCTACGCTATAAAGTTGACTTCCAGTCAATGCAATTGGAAGATGGACTTTATGATGATTTGGAATATGATTACGACGATTACTAAAAAACAGAAAGCAACAAATGAGAAACAAAAACAAAAAAAAAATTTTGATAAGCAAGACGCAAATTTTTTAAAGCGCAAGTAACAAGTAGCTTCCAGATCCTCAGCCTACATTAAACATTGATCATCGATGTTTAAGGTTTCCTTCTCGTTTTTTTTTCTTTCATAAAAGTTCTTCTTTTTAAAAAGTAATGAAAAAGTTTTGTTCATTCAGTTCATTGTGCTGGACAGACAGAAAAGTGCAAAGAATATTGAAATATTATTAATTAATTAGAATATTATAATCGGAAATATTTTATAAAGTTATATTTTATATCCTTAATGCAATGATTTATAATTGATTCAGTTACGATTTTTCATACTTTTAGGGGGTTTATAATAATTTTTAAACAAAGTTTCTATATTAATTTATACATATTAATACAACAGAATGTTTTTTGGACATGCATCAATTTATTAAGTTACACCGAATTGAGTGCTGGTCAAATGTTTTTTTATTAGTAATTTTTTTTCTCCTTACTCAAGGTTGATGATCAATGGAATTTAGTTGTTTTGCGGGTTGGACTTTTGATAGCCAATTCAAGAATTAAGAGGAAGTTTTATGTTCATTAAATTTAAATCCAATTATTAACTTAAATCCTCAATTTAAATCTTAAGATTAATTGAACTTTAAAATAACCTCTCGTCATTTGATTCAAGTGTTACTCAATTCTAGAACCCAACCATACAGACCACAACACTAGAAGAACCAATAAATAAATAAACTCCATTGACAATTAACTGAATATTTACCTTTAGTATGAAACTAATTTAATGCAGGAAAATTGATAAAATTTTCTGATTCCGCTTCTTCTTTTAAAACTCTTTTTAAATGCTTTGTTGAATTTTCAGTTGTTTTAAGGCAAAAACTAGACAAGTTTTCTTTAAAAAAATTAAAATTATAAACTTTCATTTGTCTTCGTTTGAGGAGCATTGAGGCAGTTTAGTTCGCTATTAAAGAGTGACTCGAAACTCATGATAGCTTATAAAATTTTATGTTGCTCAGACAGTGAATAAATGACCATAGCATCTAATTGAAAACGAATTAGCTTATTTACTGCAATGCAAATGGAAATGATTAGAATAAGGGGTGAATTTAAGGATTTTTCTATTAAACCCCATCTTGATAGACCTTAGTTTTCTGTAGAACAAATTATATCGAAGAAAGTGGATGAAATGTTTAGATTCTCAAAAGTATGAAACTGTTAAGATACATCAACTTGTTGAAAATTCCAATTGTGGTTCCAAAAAAACATAAATTAAATTAAAAACGGTCTGAAAATGATGTCAACTTATTAACTTGTAAATGATAAACCTTAAGAAATAACTCAGATCACGACTGATTTCAAAATTTTAGTTCAAAATAGGATAATCAGTGAATATTTTTAGCTGGGTTGAAGTCAATGCCAACATTAAGTCCAATCTTCAACCCTAAATTGAACATTTTGGAATTTTTAACAAGTTCAGCATAAACTACTTTCTTAACATCGAAAAATTTGTAGATTAGTCCACTAATAATGTCAAGGAACTTGTCTGCTTACGAGATTAAAATTTTTCTTTAGCCTTACTAAAATTTAAAGGATATTCTTTATTGGGAACTGCTCAGTGAAATGTTTTTTTGATTAATCAAAAATTAAACCATAAAAAAAATATTTTCAACAATTCTTAATGAGAAATAGACATAAAAGTTTTTTATATCTGCATACATTGATGACTAAACATTATCGTTAGATTCTCTATATGAAAAATAAATTAAAGTAAAATGACGTGGAAATAAATTCTTTATAAAGTTGAGAGAAAATGAATTAGAATAAATTGAGTAATGTGGAAATTGTCGTCTAGACAGGACGATTGATATAAAATAAGTTAGATATGATATTTAATTAAGGATTGGATCCTGTTTTTATAAGAAGAAAACATTTTTTTTTATTCTTTTGGCTGACTGAATGGTATGGAATTTAGTTTTTTGGCGCTAAAGTGCTCAAAACTGCTCATCTGCTTGGAATTATTTTAATCTTGAGATTTAAAAATAATCAAGACGACCTTCAAAAAATTCAAAAGAGTGTTCTGTATTTTCCCGAAAAGCAAAATAACGAATAACCGTTATTACGAATGTACATTTTTAGGAAAAATTTTATGGTAAAAACTTATAGGATATAATTTGAATCTCAAAATACCGTTGATTAAATCAAACATTAAAAGACAATTAACATTAATTTTATCATTTAAATGCGATTAGAAATGATATAATAATTATTATAAGATGAAGGATTAATTGAACTACCAAAAGATTTGCATTTACTTAAATATGTAATATTTTTTCTTATTTTATGAGTAATTACATGAAAAAAAATTATAGCAAAATAAAATATTTATAGAAAAATATTTCACATTCAAATAAATACAAATCTTTTTTGCAGTTCTATTAATCCTTTATATTTTATTAATTATTAAATCATGTCTAATCGCATTTAAATGAAGAAATTGTCTTAATATTTGATTTTATCCAACGGTTTTTTGAGATTCAAATATTATCCTATAAGTTTTTACTATAAAAGTTTTCGTAAAATTGAAAATTCGTAAAAATGGTTTTTCGTTATTTTGCTTTTCGGGAAAATACAAAACACTCAATTCAAAACTTTGATTGACGTTAATATTCAAAATAAAAAAGAAACACTAAAATTTCATATTTTTAAAATATGTTTGAAATTTCATATTTTTTCCTGACCAGACACACAATCCAAATCTAAGTGACAAATTCCAGCAAATTCATATCTTTCAGCATCAAAAAGTCTTAAATTAAAATCATGACTCAAAAATGACGGCTAGAAGAAATCGTTTAATGCGTTGAGGAATTAAATAAAGATAAAAACCATATTTGTAGTTTCTATTTTCTTCCTTTTTGGAATATTATTAATTCGTACTGAAAAGCTTTATCATTCTCAATAGATAAATCTGGTAACATAAACAAAAAGTAAATAGACGATTTAAAGCGAACTATAAGAGTCCAGATGAATATCAAAACGCATAAAAATTATAGTTTTAATGTTAGTTGAATGCTTTAAGGACTCATTTAATGAAATTTTCCTTTATAACATTTTTGTAACTCTTTCAGATTTCATTCTACGACTCCTTAATATGCAGCATAAAAAATGTATATGAAAAAAATGAAGAAAATCGAGAATAAAAAATGTAAAATCGATCAGAAAAATAAATCACAGAAATGATAAATTTTTAAATAAACTAATGTGTCTCCTTTATTGCTGTGCTGTTTCTTATTAATGTTTCAGATACTAAACGTAGCATAATAGCTTTAAAAAATTATGAATCATTGATTCTAATACTTAAAATATATAAATTCTTTTCAAAAAAATAAAAAAATAGACATGATTAATGCTTGCTTTAACAGTAAAGCTCCTTTGAAAGTTGAGATGTTGACATTTTGCACAAAATATTTGAAATTTCAAGGCTGTCTGTCTTGTGAACAAGCTCAACTACACAGCGTTTTGCTAGAACTGCAAAAAATCAGCAAATTAGAAATAATTATACACTAAAACTGGAAATATGCTTACGTAATAATTCGAAGAAAGTGCCTGCTGCTTCGGAACGTAACATTCCATCGCAAATTTTGTCCATTGTAATTAATTTGTCGCTTTGCTTCCAGAATTCTGTCAACTTCTTAATGACGATTTTCTTGCGGCTGCAAAAAAAGAATATAAATTATATATTTTAATTTAAAATTGAGAACTTTTTAATCCTTAGCTTAACTTTTAGTCCAACGTTTTAAATACCAAAAAATTGTAAACTTGTTACTTACTCAATTCGTTCAGAATCAGCTGCTTGTACATCTTTGATGTGAACATTATTAACTTTAATATTTTCATAGTTTAAAGCCGGCGGCAATTCAAAATCATCCATAGGCTGTACTTTTTCGATACCCAAATAGGGTTGGATTTCAGGAAGTTCCAGTTCTTGCATTTCTACGTCAATATTGTTGTTGTTCAATTCCTTAAGAATCATTTTAGCTGTTGCAGATCGAGTAAGACGTTTGGGTTTTCGAATAATGTCTGGCGAGATATTTTCAATGTCATTAAGGATGTTGTCTAATTCTGGTGATGAATTCTTGATTAAAGGTGAAATTTCTTTCATTTCTACATCCTTGGGATCAATAACTTGCGCAACAAGAATATTTTCAGGTTCCTCTTCGATGTTATTTAGTTCATGTTCCTTAAGATTAACAATAACTTTTGCTGATCGACTTGAGCGACGTAAATTCTTAATATCTTTGGAATTACTGACATTTTCCTTAATCTGTTGTTTCAACAACTTTGTGGGAACTTTCTTCATATTTCGGACATACAAATCATGTAAGGTAGACTTCTTTAAACGAAAACTACCAGTGCTGAATAAAACATCAGTACATGACTTATAAAAATGCATTCTTCGTTGAAAATCAGCAAACGGGGCAATTCCAATGATTTTTTCCTTATAGTTTTGAATTCCTTTCTTTACTGATTCTATTGGAAGTACAATTTGCTTATCAGTAATTAAACTTCTTGATTTACGGACGCGTTTTTGTTTTATAAACTTCGGAACATCATCCAAAATAAATTCAGATTCTTCTAATGATGTTTCTGGTTCAATCATTGGGACGTCATTAACTGGAATGTCAGGAATCATTGTTTCGTCATTATCCAAAATTGTTGGTTCATTAAGTGTCAAATTTTCCAATAAAGTGTCTGTAGTATTTCGCAAAGTCGATTGATCATTAAATGTCGTATTAAGAATTGTCGGATCATTAAATGTAGTCAAGGATGGCTCTTCAATATCCATCGGCTCAAAATGCAATGAGCTTTCTTGCATCGAATGGCGATTATTTGCTTCTGAGACACTTAAACTTTCGTAAAATGTTGAAACTTCGCCTATTTTATTTGAAACTTCCTGCTCATAAATATTGATGTTCGGAACTTGTTGATCAACATTCGCATTTCTCAAAACACTAATTGATTCACTATAGTTCATGTAAGTTAAACGACGTTTCTTAATTTCATAGCTTTCTTCATTATTCTTAGTACGTTTACGGCTTTTAGTTGTCAATAAATTGGATGTCGATTGAATTAGCTCATCTTGTGTCAAAACAGTATTGTCAGTTTCCTTAAGAAAGCTTTGAAATTCCTCTCCCATTTTATCACCAAAACCATCCTCTTCCTCATTAGTTAACATTGTATTATAGCCTGAAGTCATTAAAGTCATTGGTTCTCGCATAGTTATAGCATGAACGTCTGATGCCATAGTTGGATCCATTCCAATGCCTGTATCATGTTTGTTACTTCCACGCTTGCGACTTTTTACAACTGGTGTCATTACAACATCTTCTTCATCATCCTCAGCTATAGCATAAATGCTCTCGATCAGATCAAAATCATCCAAAAGTTTTGGTGCTGGTTGTGATTTCTTAGCACTCTTCTTTTTGATCGTAGTTTGAGTTCGTATTAAGATTTTCTGAGTTCGGGGAGTTTTAGGCTGAACAATTGGAGTAGAGGTGATTTGCGTCATTTGCGTAAACCTGATTAAAATACATATTTTTTGAATAATTAAATTATTATGAAATTTTTCAATTTTCTTACCAATCCATGTGATTGAAAGTTGTGTTGCATGATTGTAAAGCAAACTTGGCTTGATCTTTACGGAATGAACTTAGTTAAAACACAGTTATAAGGAGAATTAATAGGAAATTTACCATAAAGTTTGTCAATTTGTGCTTTATATAATCGGACAGTTCCAAAAGCCAAATTAGTGGATATAAGGAAGCTTCGAGCATCAATTATTTCATCCTTTATACGAGCCATCAACTCGTTACTATAGAAAATCATATTTTACTATCAAATTATCACTGAAAATTTTCAATAATTACCAAATTGCAGAAACTGATTCATTTTCTAGATTTTCTGGTCGTGAATTCTTGGTAAATGCCAAAAACCACAGTGCCTCGTACAGCGGACGATTCGTGCACGACGAAAGAAGGTTTTCAATAGCAATATGTACCATTATTCATAGAATAAATAATTAAATTCACTAATTTTCAACAAACACGACGAAAACAGTTGTTTTTTCAACTGAATTTTTTTGAAAATTTTGAACAATTCAAATCAAGGCCATAGTACTTCCAAAATAGTATAGCCGTGAGTGAGCATTGTGCAGTAACGTATACAGACTATTGAGTAAAATTAAGCTTATATGAGCAAAGTGTAGTTAAATAATGCAAAGTGAAGCAAAGTTAACCAAAGTATAGTAGAATGTAGCAAAGTGTAGTAAAAGTATAGAAAGTGCAGCATCCTAAAACTGTTTAAAACTTTAAAAACAAAACGGCCTGTTTCACTAAGGTGGATTATCCTCATTTTAGGATTATCTATTTCTTCGATGCGTGCAAAATCCAAATAATTTTTTTCTGTTTAAGCAGGCTTGGAATATATTTGATATTAGTTGAAATTGATAATTTGGAAATTGATCACGTATAATTTGAAATTGTGAATAAATAGAATTTTCTTTTGTAATTCTTTCATATTCACACAAAATTTTCAATTTTTGTGAATATATTTATTATTGGAATTGAAATACAGTCGACTGGAAAATCAACTTGCTAACGTATTTCATGGTCCTTCGAACCTTGCGATTGGAACAGACATTGAGAAAAGTTGAGAATTTGAGAAATTAAGAAATTTGCAACGCAACGCAAGTACGCTTTGAAATTGAAATTGAATAATTAAAGTGAATTATCCACAAATTGAAAATTGGACAGCACATTATAAACGCTGAAATTTCTGGAATGCATCTATATTTGAAATTGAATTTTTGAAGTTTGATCAAGAAAAGAATTCAGTGTATTGGAGTTGATTGAACTGGTTCAAGGGCTAGATTCATATTATACTTGTTAATATCAAGATAATCTGAAAACGAGCGTGAACCCGACGCAAGAGCGCAGTTATCATCTCTAAAAAGCAGAATTTAAGTATTTGACAATGGCACGAGCAAAAGCAATAGATGCTCAAAAAATAGAAGGAATTGGGTAGGAATTGATTATGAAGACTTCGATGATATGAGTACAGCTTATAACATCCTAGATAATTATCTAATTAAATTTATGCAACATTACAATGATTATCAAAACTTAAAGAAGGATGATGTTGATCTAGACAGTGAATTTTTTTCAACGTTCAAAAAGCAAATAACATCGAAGCATTTAGGTTTTAAATTTTTGTTTAATAAAATAAAAGCAAAATCAGAAAGACAGTTCGATGTTACAATTCGAGAAAATGAAGATCGACGCAATCAAGTAAGAAAAGTCAAGTTACCAGAAATCAAATTGCTACTTTCGTATCATTAGTACACACGAATTCATCATTCTCTAACATCGACAAGTTTCATTATTTGAAAAGTTCTACAAAGATAGAACCTGCATCTCAAAACATCCTCAATAATTATCAAGTGACAGATGGCACGTATGAAAATGCTTGGAAAGCATTATGTTCGAGATTTGATGATCGTAGAGCAATGTTATTAGAATATACAGATTCATTGTTCAAAGTTGAAAAGATTTACAAGACTCAAGATGTATTAAAGTTGGTGGATTCTTACGTCAGCATAATGTCATCGTTTGTTAAACTGAATGTAACTGATCATGAGTTCATGGATTTGATGTACGAAAAGATGATCAGAGATAGACTTAATAAATTTACCAGAAGAGAATGGGACTTGCACATTAATACTCATTAAACAACATTTTATGATTTATGTAAATTTTTGGAAGGAAGACATAAGTCAGTAAAATTTACGGCTAGTGAATCATCAAATCCAACATCTTCGAAATATCAACAAGAGAATAAGCAAAATAGGAAAACTTTCTTGTCAAACAACAAACCTGTTAGCCTTGTATGCTCAATTTGTTAAAAAATTACTTGAACAGTAACTGTCCATCATTTCTCAGAGAGAAGATTGACAAAAGATTTGAAATAGTTTCGAAGCTCAAACTATGTATGAATTGTTTAAGACCTGGACATATTGCAAAGAAATGCATAAGTTCAAAAAATTGCAAAACATGTGGAAATAGACATCATACGACACTTCATCGAGTTAAAGCATCAGACGAAGAAGCTTTCGAAAAATCATCAACAAGCAGTTCATCAGACAAAAGATTAGTGATAAACAATAAAGCATTACTGTCATCAACTCAAACTGTACTATCAACAGTAAAAATATTGATTTGTGACAAAAAAAATAAATGTTAAGTCTTAAAAGCTGTTATGGATTCTGGTAGCAATAGACATTTCATCACAGAAGCAACAACAAAACGACTGGGCTTATCTCTTAGAAAAATTAATAGGAAATAAAGGGAATCAATAATATTCCTACTGATGTAAAATACGAAGCTGTCGCAACAATTAAGTCAAGATATCCAAGATATGATAATTTCAAAAATACCATAACTCTCGATATTTTTCCTGTAATTACAGATCAGTTACCTACTCATTATTTTGAAACTAAGAAGTTTCAAATACTCAATGAAATTTTTATGGCTTATCCAGAATTTAACGTTCCAAGTGATATTGACATGTTGATTGGTTGCAAGATATTTTGGGATGCTGTATTGAAAGACAGACATCAAATATCTAACAATGGATTATTAATTCATACAAAGTTTGGATGGATGTTTAGCGGAAATGCAGAATGTAATGAAAACTTAAAGACAACATTATTATCAATGTCACAACAGCCATCACTTGAACAACAACTGGAGAAGTTCTGGATGATTGAACAATGTGAAAATAGAGACAGACTGTTGACTGAAGATCAAAAAACATGTGAAGAGATATTTAGGGCCACAACAGTTCGAGACGGAAGTGGAAGATATGTGGTTGATCTTCTATTTAAATCAAATTACACCAATCTTGGCAATAACTTGAATAATGCAATTAATCGATTTAGAGGCTTAGAAAACAGATTCAAGCGAGATGATTTGTATTATCGTGAATACAAAAAGTTCATAAATGAATATGAAGAATTGGGACATATGACTGAATTGAAAAATTTAACGTCACCATTTGAATCGTGTTATTATCTTCCACATCATGGAGTTGTGAAGGAAGATAGTACAACAACAAAATTGCATGTTGTTTTTGATGCATCCTGCAAGTCTGCAACTGGTTTGTCGCTTAATTAAACGTTGTTTATTGGACCAACAGTACAACCAGAACTTTATGATCTCATCATAAAATTCTTAACAAAACCAATAGCATTAAAAGCTGATATTGATAAGATGTACATACAAATTCTTGTAAATGAATCGCATCAGAATTATCAACGCATTATTTGGAGAGATGGTCCAAATGAGAAATTCAAACATTTCAACTTGAATACTGTAATTTATGGAACATCATGTGCTCCTTATTTGGCAACGAGAGCATTAAATCAACTAGCAGATGATTATCAGCATGTATATCCAAATGCTTGTGAATTGATTCGATCAAATTTTTAAGTAGTTGATCTGTTGTTTACATTTGATACTGTTGAGAAGAGTAACAAATTACGAAAAGAATTATGTGAAGTATTCGAAAAGGCGGGAATGTCCCTACGTAAATGGGTTTCGAATAGTCAAGAAGTACTCTCTTCAATCCCTACGAGTCATATTGAAAACTTTCAAGAATCAAGCGAAATAAAAGCTCTGGGTATAATTTGGAACATATCTTCAGATACATTCACATTCAAGTTGAATTACAAAGATAAAAAGTCGTTAACAATTTCATCAGTGCTTTCATGAATTGCCAGTATTTACGATCTAATCGGTTGGCTTGGTCCAATTATATTAACTGCAAAATTATTTATGAAGAAGCTGTGGTCACTACATCTTGATTGGAAGTCAGCGTTACCTGATGATTTATGTGAGGAATGAAAAAAATTTGAAACATCACTGATATTGGTTAATCAAATTAAAATTGATCGACAAATGATTTGTGTAAATCCAGTAAATTTTCAATTACATGGATTTTGTGATGCTTCTACAAAAGCATACGGGTTGGTGTTGTATTTACGATCAACAAATATTAACAAAAATGTTACACGTCGAATTATTACATCAAAATCTCGTGTAGCACCACAGAAGCAAATAACACTGGCTAGACTTGAACTTAGTGGAATTTTATTGTTAGCAAAATTTTCAAAACGAATAAGCACAGTATTAGGAATTCCAGCAAATTATGATTATTTATGGAGTGACTCTTTAATTGCACTTCATTGTGTCAAGTCAGAACCTGCTAAGTTATCAGTTTTTGTTGGAAATCGTGTAGCCGACATTCAAGTAGAAGCAGAAAAATTCAATTTTAGTCATGTTCGCACAAAAAGCATCCTGCAGATTTAATTTCACGAGGTGCAACAGCAGAAGAATTGAATAACTCTGAATTGTGGTGGAATGGTCCTGATTATCTTCAAGAAGATGTAGAGTGCTGGCCACATTCATTATTAAACTTTGATTTGGATAATTCCGAGTATAAAAAGGAATTTCGTCGAGTTTTACTTGTAACTCATCCATCGTTGAATCACATCATTCATTACATAGATATTCTCACCCAACAAAGCTATTTAAAATATTTGCATCTTTATTAAGAATAATAGATAAATGGAAGAAGAAAGCAAATATCAAAATCGAACTTCAACATGCAGATTATGAGCTTCTAGGTAAAAACAAAGTAATTCATCTTATACAATTACATTTTTTCTCTCAAGAATTGAAGAAGTTGACAAAAGGAAAAGAAGTTTCATTATCATCTAGTATCAAACAACTGTCACCATTTCTGGATAATTATGGTATTATTATGGCATTGGTGAATGTGAAAGTTTAACATATGAAAATAAGCATCAAAACATCATGCCTAAGTGTTAATTTGTTTATAATTTGATTCGTCAGATTCATGTTGATAATTTGCATTCGACAAAATTTTCAACATTATTTTTTGTAAGACAAGTTTATAAGTGTCGTTAACAAATTATGGGAGATTTACCTCCAGAAAGAGTAAATCAATCAAATACATTTGAAAAGGTAGCTATCGATTAT